CAGTTAGCAGTCTGATAATAGAACTGCAGGTGAAATTTCATGTTCATCAATATCTGATGTTGAAAGTTTATTATTTATTTCTGAGCAACTTCCGAGGTCTAAGGTAGTGTGTTCAGATGTACCGCCACACTTCCTCTTTACTTTACCAGTCGGTTTCTTATTATACTTCATGACGTTGAAATAAAAGAGAATGTATTTAAAACTGTTTTCCAACAAAGTATGTTAATATAAATTACATCCCAGAGGTGTCACACTGCCATCATGTGCATATCCCATCTTCTTTGGTAACGGTCCTCCATAATTATAATATCTTGATAAAATCTTTCACCTTGCTCTTCACTGATGTATCCTGAATTTTCTAGAAAATATTCTTGGTGGCTGAGTAAATAGTGCATTTTAATTCTCCTGTCGCACCCAAAGAGTTTAAAATTTTGAAGCATAGTTTGCCAGTTCAACAACGATTTTCTGCTTTTTGTTGGCCCAAAAAATCTCAGACAACTGTAGCAAATGAAGTCCAGATTTTTCGCTCAGCCTTATTCATGAAATTTATTAAGACTTGGTCTTAAATGAATTTTCTTATTTCTGGACCGTTAAACATTCCTGCTTTAGTTTTTTCCTTACTCGAGTGAGGTATTTAGCCTCCCTCCCCTTCCTATAAATGTGAACCATGATCTTTCAAGTCCACACAAATAACCTGAAATAATGGACATAATGAAATGTGGAGAAAGAAAAGAAAAAAGAAGAATAAAAACAAAAAATAAATAAATAAGTAAATAAAATTAGAAGAACAAAAATAGAGACTTACAGGAGTGTTCAGCAAGGAGTTTCACTTAGAACTGGAAAGCCTGGGTTAGTACGCTTAGGGAAATTTGCTGACCTGGTTAGGGAATGGTAAGGGGTTACGTAGTAAAAGTAAAACAAAACCTGGAATATTACTATCTAAAATCTAAAATTTGAAGATATGGATGGATACTAGTGAAAATACTATATCTATGAACTAATAAATTATAAATATCTACGTATACATATAAAATAGAATTAAGAAAGTATAGATAGAAGTACAATGTGAATAAAGCCAACTTATTATTTATAAAGCCTTGGCATGCAAGTACCTGTTCGTCCTGGAGAAGATATCAAGCCGCTAGAATACAAAATGGTGGTCATGTGAATATAGAAGAGACCTTACATAGATTGCACGCGTATATATAGAGAGAGCTTATAAAGATACCAGATATATGAAAGCTACCAACACTTTCAATTTAAATTATTTACAGTCTTAAGACCTAAAATAAAAGTCAGTTACACCATACTCGTAGATTTCAAGTCGAAAAATTGAGTTTACGAGTAAAAATATTTACTTTTATCGGTTTTTCGCTTATATCAGTAAAACAATGCGTTATATCTATAATAGTGTGATATGTGAAATTAAAGCTAACAAATGTGATATGTGGTATTCGCCCTCTTAATTCACTAATTTCGAAAAAAATTAATTTTTCAAATAATTTTATCATTATTTGACTCGCCAACTCTTTATCTTTTCATTATACGAAAAAGTCATGAGTAAGAAAGTTGTTTAATATTAAATTTTCTTTAAGAATATATATTATTTTACGATCTTATCTTCAACCATTCAAAGGCTAGAGCAATTATAATTTAATGATTAAACTTCTAAACTATACAGAAAAACTTTTTCTCATCAAGCCTGTTGATATGATCAATTTATAAGGACAAAGCATAGTATGAAATTTGACACCTTTTTTACCACGGGCTCCCGGACTATTATAAGAGCATATACAAACCAGAAACGTCTCAGTTTTTTTATTCGTGTCCACCCCTTCGACATTGAGACTATACGAAGCTTTTCCTTGGAGGAAGGTAGGGATGTTTAAAACTCCCCCGCCACCAGAACGCGAACTCATAATTATTTTATCATGTAAACTTGAGTTTATAAGGTTGCCGGGAAACGTGTGTTTTACACAGCTTTAGTCCCCTCAGGTCCAATCAATGAATGCCCGAAAAGGGGGCAATAGAAAGAAGTGGTGGAGACTCAAATTTATTTTTCTTCAAAATTCGCCATAGTTGAAGATAGATATCTCGCTAAGTGAGGTATCGAAAAAATGTATAGAATCAATCATATTGCAAATTTTATCAGCTTTAATTTTGTATAGAACGTCTTTGTTGATGTGGTGGATAGTTTTCCTGATATAAGTGAAACCCCGAAAAAAGTGACCTTCTAGGGGCCTCCTCTTCTCCCTCCTCACCTGGCTTACCACCTAGGAGTGGAGACCTTTAGTATTTTTATTTCTTTACTAGTCAAACAATCTACCAAAGTCAGAAATTGTGTCCCCGATATTTCCTTCTGTAATCATTCATTGAATGAACTACTCGGCCATCTCGCCCCACAGTTGGTATCGTATGGATAATTATTATTCTGTTTGTGGCAATAAAAAAACTAAATTGCCTTACATTAAAATAAGAATAGGCCGTAGCTTAGTTTATTTCATAATAGATAAAAGCGTCAAGTATCAACTTTTACATTATCTTACTTTATGAAAATAAAGTGCTTAAAGTATTAGTAAATAGGCGATAAAAATAAATTACTTAAGGTCAGTTTTCAAAAATAAAAGAAATCCTTATCATGTTTAAAAAATGCTTCCTCTTGAACATTATATTTGTTTTTTATAAGACTGAACAGACTTTTTTTTTACTCTAATCTTTCAATTTTCAATCATGTATGATAAATTAAATAGTTATAAATTATATATATAGTTATAGTTATAAATTAATTAGTTATAAATTATATATTTTTAACATTTGTGTCTCTTGACATATTGTTCAGAGAAAACTTTCATTAAACAGGGAATAGTCAGGGAATTTTACTCTGACAATTTGGTAGCCACCCTGACATTATAACGGAACGAAAGTGGAACATGAATCACACTAAAAAATTTAAATATCTAAGTGTACATAAATGAAAAAAACAAATATTGAACAATAAGTATGTAAAAGCTTTTAAATTTTATATAAATTGAAAAAAATCTAACATGAGTCTTTGCTTAAACAATAAAATAATTAACTAATTGTGGAATAAATAACGTAAAACAGATAAAATATTTGAATTAATATAATTTGTAGACATGTTCAATATTAAAATTAATTACCAGAAACATTGTTAAATTTGCTTCTGTGAAACCTAACCTTTTATAATTAGAAAATGATCTTTCTACATTAATAGGCGTGTTAGAAGGAAATTTATATCCGCTTAAAATTACCTGGTTGATGTCGATGTCGCTGGGAACAATTGAATCTTTGCTATTTAAAATTTTATTAATACCTTCCAGAATTGTGAGATCTGAATTTTTTACAGAAACCTCTTCCATTTTTTCATTTAAAATTTCACCTACTTGGCCTAGTACCACTGGTTTATCAGTCGTAGAAACTATTTCGTGTCTGTTGTTTTAAGGTTCAATCCAAGATTTCAACATTGATGAATAGTTTTGAACATCGATAGATATTTTTGGCATTTTAAAAGAACAGAAATATGATCTCTTGCTAAGAACATAGGCAACAAATTGAAATAGAAACTTAGGATGATGTTTACATGGGACAAGAAAGGGAAATGGATTTCTAGGAATTGGAGAACAACCATAAAGTTAATTATTAAAGGGTATAGAGGATGGTTGGTATACAGTCTACAAATGTGGTAGATTTTGTTCATTAAAAATAAAGCTACGATTGTTATCTTGAATAGGATCTTAATTTGTATATATAAATGAGTAAATATTCATTTATATATATATATATATATATATATATATATATATATATATATATATATGTATTGTTTATTTCATTAAATTAATCAAAATATGCAATTATTTGCATTTATCCTCAAATTTGCAAAAATATAGGAATAAAATTTGGCTAATCGCATCACAGTGTAGTAATTCGAATAGATATTTGATCAGCGGTTGAAAAAATGACACAAACAAAATATACAATTGCATAAAAATCCAGGCCTTGGTAATAAGCGATTGGCCTCTCACTATAAGCTTACCCTAAATGTTGAGAGGACCAAAACCATCATGATTGGATTCTTTTCCTCCTTAAATCCTTCCCAGGACAGACTTACCTTATCCTGAACAATTCTCCTATCTCATTCCACACCCCAATTAAATAAAAACCTTGGAGTCACCTTTTACCAAACCTTTTCATGGAAACAACATATCTCCCAAATCTTCTGTTCGACCATATCAACCACCTATCATTCGCTATGCTTTAACAGTTTCCTCGTTCAAAGCTCAACAAAGCTTCAAAGCTCAGTTTCCTCTTCAACCACCTTCTCCTCGCCCAGTCTAATTAATTTTATTTTATACTAAGTCACCTTTTCATATATTTTTAATAAGTTATGGTATTTATTTATTATTTTTTTAAATGTAGTTTTGTTGTTTTAATTACTGTATATATTTTATTTTCCTATATGGTATATTTTCACTATTTTTTTATTTATATCAATAAGTTCAGCCACTATGTATTGTTATTTTAATTATATTTGTAAGGGTTTTGTCCCAAGGGTAATATTGAAAATTTTTCATTTCATCATTGTTTTTTACTGTGTATTGTGTGCTTTTTACTGCATATTTTATGACATGCCGGGTTTTATTCCATAAAAATCTGGGTTTTGTACATAACCAACAATCAAAAAAAGTCTTTAAACACCCTGTTTATACTTTAAAATACATATCCTAATGAAGAAAAAATTAAAAATAAACTATGGGAATTATACTTTATAAAAAGTTAAGTGATGCTAAATTATACTAGCTCAATGTAGAAAGGTGTAATTAAAAAAAAAAATGTTTTTGTATGTTTCCTCTTTTCTACCTCTACATAACTATATATCTCAAATATATTTTTAAAAAATTTAAGGAAATAATTAAAATTAGTAACTTCAATTTGTTTTCGGTTTTTCTTTTGTAATTATTTTTATTATTTTTTAACAGCATGAAGGACATGAGGAAGGAGTTTCTGGTTGGGCTACATCATTTGAAAAGCTTTTGGAGGATCCAGTTGGATTACATACATTTGCTGTAAGTGTTCCTAATAATTTACTTCTTGAAAATAAATGATGAAATTGTATTACCCTTTCCGTTTGACGATGTAATTTTTACTAGTTATATTTAAGTGTGTATATTTCGATTTCATATGAGATTATTTATATTATTTAATAGAATTTTTTTATTGCGGAAAAAAAAGGAACCTCAAATAGTAAAAACTATGTATTAAATCCCAACATTTCGACCCACTTTGCTGTACTCATCAGTACTAAAATATACAAGATACAAAACAAAGTAGAAATATTTTAGAAGATTAAAATGACTCATAGAAGTGAAATATCTATGAGCAGAGTAAATAGAAAAGTATAATACGGAAGTTAAAATACTAACAGTAATAACTGTTACAGTTGTGAGTTACAAAATATAAATAAGATGAATTAACACAGTATTAACAAAAAAGATCTATATTGTGTTGCTTTGTACCCAAAGAAACAACATTGAAAGTTTTTTCTTCCAATCTTTGAATTCACTTTTTTCAACAATCATTAATAAAATATGTTATCACAAGGCTATTAATTGAGTTGTTTTTTTTTCTAGAAATTATTCATTTACATATACATACAATACATCTCATCATGTCACAGTAATGGTTATATGTTTGTGGTTGTAGCAACCTTGCACATATTATACTGGTGGTTTGAACGCTATTAAGAAAGCTATTGAAATCCATTTTTTACAATAGGAAAAACTAATAAAAAAACTGCATGATATAAAATAAAAACTAGATTACAATCATTAAAGTACATACTGGTACTGGTACTGGTGGGGTTACTTAGTCCAGCAAGTGGGCCTATTGGTGCTTTTTGCCAACCCCAAAGATGATACTACCAGTGGATGATACTACCTAAAGTCTGGAAGTAGTTCCTGAGGGCTATATAGGAATGAAGCAGTCATCAGCTGGACCTGTCGCTTTTGAATGGCCTGATTCTGGTCTCTGAGCGTAGCTTCCTGTCTGCCGGTACCTTTGGACAGCCTGCTAAACCATTGTTTCAGACAGTCCGTGGACTCACACCGCGTATTGTTGATTTCTGCCATTCTCAATCAAAACAGTAATCTGACTGACTGCCACGGTATCCAAAACCATTTTATACTCTTAAAAAAAGTTTGATACAAATTAAATATTGTTTATCAAGAAAAGAAAAAAAAGCACAACCAACAGGCAACTGTAGACAAACTGATATGAAATCCAGATTTTACCTAATAGTTTTATCATTAATCCTAGAGAGAATTATGAAATTTTCTTGAAAGGATTATTGCATGGTAATCAATCCCCTTTACCTGTCATATACATTTTATTTCTTCAGGCTCAAAAATATTTCTTTAATCTCCAGTTTTTATGTGAAATTCAAGGTGCGCCATTTTTTTTTTAACGCCAGTTTATTTCTCCTATTATATACTGATAATATAAACTTCTTTCCGTTAAATAGTATTATTTATTCTTTACATTTTTTATCAGGAATTCTTGAAAAAGGAATTTAGTCATGAAAATATTTACTTCTGGGTAGCATGTGAAAATTATCAGCTAATGACTGATGAATCTGCTCGTAAAGAAAAAGCACGTGAAATATTTGAAAGACATCTTGCTCTTGGGGCATTAGAACCTGTTAATGTTGATTCATATGCCCGTCAAGTGACTGAAGAACAATTAGACAAAGCCTATCCAAATCTGTTTCTTCAGGTGAGTTAAAAATTTATTAGTTTTAATAGGTTTAGCAAATAAGATCTTCCATTTGTTATTTCTCTTTTATTTTATAGTCTTTTTCGAATTTTATCATAACATCCTAATCTGTAACAATCATAACAATTGTTGATCAATCCATTTAAAAAATTATTCTGTCATATTGTTAAAAATAAAACATTATTTGCTATAAATTTGGCTATTAGCTAATAATTTATTTCAAACAATATGTCAGCACAATTTTCTAAATGGATTTATTTACAATTTTGTATGTTTTTTATAGATCAGGGTGTTTTTAAAATGGGTATGTAATGGTGAAACATCAATATACTATTAAATAAATAACCTTTCCTTTCATATCATGACCTCATCAAGATTTCCTATAATGTCCCGACTCCTAAGTCCACTCTCAGGTAAATTACGTGACGAAATCTTGGCTCACTGACCTCTGAAAAACTAAATAATTTCCTCAAATCACTAGCCCAATCCTTAGATTCCAATATTCCTATTCTTCCATTGATCGAATGGTGGAGTGTCTTTCCACCAATCTTCTTCTATTTCTAAATTAACATGCACCCTTAAAGACCTCAATATTTAAACGCCCTCCTTCTCCCTGAGTCAATCCAAAAATAAGAGAATTAATGAAGAGAAGAGAGCCTGCAAGGAAGCGTTTTAGACGCATACGTAATTCGAATGACTACTTCTCTTTCAAGACCCTGAAAATTTCTATTTTGCAATTATTTCAGCAGAAAGTAGATCTTCCTCTGTCTTAAAATCCAGAACAAATGACTATGGTCCGGATCTAATTCCTATAAAGTTAATCAAACTATGTCTCCCTATCATCTTTCCTATCCTACTGCATATCTACTGTTTTTCCTTGACAAATTCCAGTTTTCTGTCAGCTTGGAAAAAAGTTATTGTCCGCTTGTTGAACAATGTTCCACTTCCCTCCAAAGTTTCCGATTTCAGACCCATCTACATTCCCTCCAAACTTTCAAAACCTCTTAAAAGAATTATCTGTGCACAGCTTAACACCTTCCTAGAACAAAAAGCTCTCCTCAATCCCCTTCAGTCTGGTTTCTGATCCCAGGTTTCCACCCAGTCTGGTTTGTTGAAAATTACTCAAGACTTTCATTTCTCCGTAGACAAACAGAAAATCTTTATTCTGGTCCTCTTTGATTTTTCAAAAACATTCGATTCAGTCAATCACGAAATCCTCCTTTCCAAACTCCAAAACCTTTCCATATCAAATAATGCTCTAAAGTGGTTCCATTGCTTCTTGTATTAAAGATCCCAAACAGTCATCATCCTTAATAAAACTCCTTCCTGCCCCCTCTTGCTAACTCGCAGTGTTCCTCAGTGATCTTCACTCTCTCAAACTCTTGTCTCCCAACTACATCAAAGACTTTCCTGATTCCATCCATCATTCACAATATCACTTATATGCTGACGATCTCCAAATCTACCTTTCCTTCCATCCAGCAAGATGCTTGAGGCGATCCGAAGGCTTCAAGAAGACATTGATAGTATCAATACTTGGACAGTGAGCAACAATTTAAAGTTGAATATTGAGATAACCAAAGCCATTCTTATTGGTTCCAAGCATCTGATTAATTCCATTCCTTGTTATCCCCTACTCTACCTCAATGGGTTGTCTAACCGTTTCCACACTTCCATTAGAAACCTTGGGCCAATGTTAGATCAATATCTGTCCAGGAATAATCATTTTCCCAAATAATCTGAAAATCCATTGCTACCCTCAAACATTTTTAAGATTACGTGATTCCATGCCCCTTAAAATCCATCAGCTCCTAGTTTCCTCTCTCATTTTCCCTCATTTCCTTGTATTCATTCACTCACGTTCATTTTCCAGGCTGCCCCTTTTATACTGGACTACCCCCCTTCTACAGTGTACTATCTGGTTGGCTTGAGATCAGATTAAAAAGACCAAGAATTGTTTCATTAGATTTATTTTTGGAGTCCACAGGCGCTCCCACTTCTTCAGTTGGTATGCCGAGTTGAAGTGGCTCTATCCAGTCTTCCGGCAATATTTCCTAGGAGTATTCTTTTTTCGAACCTTTTCAACCAAAAAACCCTCTTACCTTCTCGATTTGTTTACTTCTTGTACCTCTGTCCATTCGTTCAACACAAGATCCCAGCCTTCAAACCTATTTATTCCTTCTCATAGAAATGTTTACTTTAAAAAATCCTTTGTCATATGTGCTACTATTGTTTTGGAATTCCCTACCAACCTCCATATGCAAATCCTCATCCTTGACCTCATTTAAACATAATTTATGTATCCATCTCCTCAGCAACCAATCTTCCAAATATATGTAAAATAATGCTTACGTTTTTCAGAGCTCTCAATCACATTTAATGTTTTCCTAATTATATATACCCTAATTATATATCATCTACATTGTTTATGTGTACAAATATGAGAACTCGCCCATCTGGATTTATCTATAATTTCATATGTCTACCAGTGCCTTTTCTTTATTTTATTTTAATTTTAGATCTAGGACACTTTGTAATTTAATTTATTTCTAATGCCAGACAATTGTCATTACTAGAGACCAGATTTCCATGTTATTGCACTTTGTATAGGCTTGCATGTAAAAACTCCGGACTCAAACATCTATCCGTTTTAGAACCTATAGAATAACGTATTTAAATTTTATATTGCACGTTTTGCCGATTTTGGCTTAAATTGCACGATTTTGATTTTTGTTGCATTAAATTGCACATTTTTGCACTTTTGTGCTAAATTAGACAATTTATAAATACAATGGTATAAGTGAGTGTGTGATTATTAATTTTCTTTTTATTTTCTATATTGCTCAAATTAAATTAATTATTCAAAATAGAAAAATATGAGGAAGGCAAATAATTCTGTGTGAAGCAAAAATCATATTCATTACAAAATGAAGAAGTAAACACAAGTGAGATCTATTCTTGGAATAAAACTTGCCTAAAATATTATATTATAATAAAAATAATAAAAAGCTGCTTTCCTAGAATTATCTGCTTTGTTAGTAAGACATTTATAGTTATTGTTTTGGCTTCATTTGACACTTCATAATTCGTAATTCCCCAAAATATTTTTTTTACTGGTATAGAATAACAGCCTCAACACTAATTTTTGAACACTTGAAAATCTCAAACATTACAGTCTATTTCAATTTTTTTTTCAAAATTCTTTAAATTTCAACAAAAATGTTCGGTAATGTATATTATTGGAAACTTCAACTCTATTAAAAAATTAAGTTTTCATTATTATTTTTAATAAAAGTTATATATCTAAAATTGGTCTGATCTATGTAATATATACATAGGCACTTATAATTCCTGCCTTCATTTATTCTTTCAAACCTTCAATGTTCTGCATTATTTGATAATAATGGTTATTATAATCTGGAATTTCATTTTCAATATTATATTTCAATTTTTTTTTTTTTTTATCTCTCGGTTAGCTCAAGATCAGATAAGATTTTGTTGTATTAATGTTATAAATTAACCAATATTGATTATTTTACACGTTTTTAAGTGTTAATTACACAATTTTACTTATTTTGGATTTATACTGCACGATTTTGCACGTTTTGAGTTTTTTACTGCACATTTTCCGTATTTTAAGTGCATAAAAATCTGGTCTCTAGTCATTACATTGTACATTATGGTTATTCTAAGGGAACTTACTTTCTTCCCAGAATAACATTTACTTTCATTATTTCTTACCATAATAATTTTTAAACTTCCCATTATAATTAAAAAATAAATTATTGATTTTAATGCTTAATGTAATATATCATTATTTCATTCATTCCATATTTTTTGAAATATGTTTATTAGTTTATATATTTGTTTATTTTAGGCTCAGAAACAAATATTTAATTTGATGAAGTTTGATAGTTATCCTAGATTTCTTAAGTCTGAACTTTACAAGGAATGTGTTGTACGTGTTCTTGCTGGTGAAGAACTCTCTTTACCGAGTAACAATGGTGGTTTACATTTAAATTTATCCCAAGTTCATTCCAAGGTAAATATAAATTATTTATTAGTGTAGTATTCTTTATTGTTCTTTCCGCTACACTAGTTATTAACTATGAATAAATACTTTTGTTTTCCGACCGGTTGTTGGTCTCATATACATCACAAATTTTTCCAAAGTATTCTTTTTTTTAAATGACCACACTTTAATCTTCAATGTTTAGTGGTCTATAGTGTAAGACACCCTCAACTACCAGTGTTCAGCCATATAATTTAGTCGAGTTGTAGAATGATTAGCGGCCAAAGTTTTAAATCCTAAATGTCCACGACAAAAAAGTTAAATTTTCACTTAAAGGGAAAACTACTAGTGTGGGGTCACCAATTTTAAGAAAACATTTTTGGTGATGCTAGGTGGTAAATTATTAAACCCATATCCAAGGCTTCTTGCCAATATGTCCAAGAAGCTAAAAAAAAATAAATTATAAAATTTTAACATTATATTATACTATCGATTTCTGCCTTTCCTTCACATGGATTTCTAGGTTAAAATATATCAATTGATTTGTTTTTTGTATAAAATAAGAAAAATCTATTGCTTATTGTATTAAACAATTTTTTTTTTATTATTATGATATTTACAACTGTATAAAAAAAACACATCTAGTATATTCGTAACAATGGATATAATGACATAAACCACATGTTGAGAAACTACCCACTGGTATCACATTAATAATATGTCTACATGAGGAGATCATGGGGCCATCTTCTTTTCAGACGGTTTGGAGGGTTATTAGGAATTGAAGAGGAAGCTAGGCTAGAAACAAAAGGTGGGTAGCCCGTCTTATATTCTGTGGACCAGACCCCCTTACCGTGCACCCCCCCCCCCCACATCCCTATAAATTGCATATCGTTGTGTTCCTTGTAACTATTTATTAAAAAAAAGCCAATGTTCCCACAAAAAAAAGTGAACGCACTGCCCCAAAATGGCGTCCAAAGATGGCGGATTGACGACTTTGACTTTAGTTAGTTTTTTGGTCACTGAGAATCAACATTTGGCTTAATTTCCTCATAGTTGGTCTTTTATTAAAGCTGAATAGTCATAGAATAATAAACCATGAAGAAATATAAAAAAATAATTGGCTTAGGCTATGAAAAACACTACTAAAGTCAATTCTTTTAACAAAAACATTTTCAAGTTAAAAATCAAGCGTCATTTGTAATTAAACGGCCTACAATAACGCAAAACATGCTGAAATAAACCATCTGGAGAATATATTTTTCTTTCCAAAACGCTGATTATTTTTTAAAAACTTTTAAACAGTTCCGTAGAAAATGCACTTATGCAGCAGAAAAGCGGTACTGGCGTGGGTGCCTACAGGCCTCTACCACACCATTCAGTACACATAAATGGCTTAGTTAAAGTGACATAATAACATTTTTGGTACATTATATTGGTTTCCTTAACGAACAAATATTAATGCAATAATTTAATTGTAAAAAAAAAAAAAATTAAAATTTTTTAAAAAAATTTATTATTTTTTTTTATTTAACCTTCTTTATTCTACACGTAGGTCGTTTAACAAGACCTTGATTGGCACTTCCTTTCTCGTTCGCTTAATGTATTTTTCCAGTTTTCAGGTTCAATTTCACCTTTTTCCTCATTTCAAGACCAAATCCAAACAATCAGTTCTGGCTTATAGAAGAACTTATAGCGTCACCGTTTCTATCTTTCTTTGTACAGAGAGAATAATTCATTCAATAATAAAATTTCCTATTTATTTATGATATAGTCCAACTTCCGCACAAAATAAAGGAAATAAAAATTAATTTTTTAATTAGTGTTATATGAGTTTTACTATACAACCCAGCAGCTATTCATTATATATAGTTCAGATTAGGTATATATTATTTTAGTTTATAAAACAGGTATTAATACCACTCATTTCCTGGGAAGTATATATAAATTTTAATTACCTTTAAGAATCAGTAAATATACAAAACACAATGTTAAATTGCAAACGTTAAATAAAAAAAAAATCAAGATATTTAGCAAAGTTTTTTAATTAAGTTTTATTATTATAATTATATCATTTTTACAATCAAGGTCTTCTTAAACGACCTACGTGTAGAATAAAGAAGGTTAAATAAAAAAAAAAAAAAAAATACATTTTTTAAAAAAATAATAATTTTTTTAAAAAAATTTTAATTTTTTTTTACAATTAAATTATTTCATTAATATTTGTTCGTTAAGGAAACCAATATAATGTACCAAAAATGTTATTATGTCACTTTAACTAAGCCATTTATGTGTACTGAATGGTGTGGTAGAGGCCTGTAGGCACCCATGCCAGTACCGCTTTTCTGCTGCATAAGTGCATTTTCTACGGAACTGTTTAAAAGTTTTTAAAAAATAATCACCGTTTTAATAGAAGAACTTATAGCGTCACCGTTTCTATCTTTCTTTGTGCAGAGAGAATAATTCATTCAATAATAAAATTTCCTATTTATTTATGATATAGTCCAACTTCCGCACAAAATAAAGGAAATAAAATTAATTTTTTAATTAGTGATATATGAGTTTTACTATACAACCCAGCAGCTATTCATTATATATAGTTCAGATTAGGTATATATTATTTTAGTTTATAAAACAGGTATTAATACGACTCATTTCCTGGGAAGTATATATAAATTTTAATTACCTTTAAGAATCAGTAAATATACAAAACACAATGTTAAATTGCAAACGTTAAATAAAAAAAAAATCAAGATATTTAGCAAAGTTTTTTAATTAAGTTTTATTATTATAATTATATCATTTTTACAATCAAGGTCTTCTTAAACGACCTACGTGTAGAATAAAGAAGGTTAAATAAAAAAAAAAAAAAAAAAATTTAAAAAAAAAAAAAAAATTTTCCGCATTTCACGCATCTTGGAATGTGGTGGCAGTAAGTTTTGGTGTGGCCATATGCCTGGCAATTATGAGACTGGACGATTTCTCTTTTAGTGTACGGTTTTTCAACCTTAACACTAGTATAATATAATCTTCTAATTTCATATATTTTATCAACTCCTGCTGAGGGTTCTAAATCTATGAAAAATATGGGTAATGGTATTTTTCTATTAGCACCGGGCACATCTCTGTCGTCCTTCATTACATTGGTGACCTGTCGGGCTTTGAAACCTAGGGTCGTCAGTTCTTCTTGGATCTCCTCGGCTGGAGTAGAGGGGTGCAAATTTTGAATTACTACCCTCAGGGAACTCTCTTGCCTCAATTGGTAGGTGTGAAAATTTCCGTTTTGTCAGATAGATATTTAATAATTTGGCGGTATGAATCAGCTGTGGCTGGGGATATTTTAATATCGTTAGTCCGGCTTAAACAGGAGTAGCTACCAGGAGTTGTAATTTTATTTAAATGTGTGCATAATAACGGGAAATTTTTAAATTTTTAATGAAAATTGGAGGGGGTCGAGGTTCTCTGGGAATGGGTGCTGATTCCATCGCCTCTTTTTCATTTTGCAGTACTTCATAAGGATTCGGGGTGAAAAAGGGAGACTCGTCTATTGTGTCCTTAGATGATCCGGGCTGAGGTTGAGTTTCTTCTGTTACTTTAGGTGGAGTCGCAGGTGGCGTCGTTCTTTTCGATTGGCGACTTTTTTTTTCGCAGGTGACGAACGTGGTGTTGATCCGGCGGAGCGAGACCTCGTTATTGCACCCTTAGAAGACATGAGTTGATGGTAGAATCGCATAATACATCGAGATAAAGTAAAGGAAGAGAAAAAAAAAGAAATAAAAAAAAATTTAAAACACGCTGAGTGACCTTGATTTTGTCTCAGCGTCGCAAAAGGACCTCTCCCGTTAAGGCTCCAAGCCCAACTGACTACGTTGGGCCAGGTACTTATGGCCGTGAGATAAGGGAACTGGCCTCTATACACCGGTTTCACTTCACACGATTGTACACAATAAATAAAAACTGTACTCACTGTGGCATTAGTGCATGTTATAGTCCAGGTGTTTAGCTCACGTATAGTCACAATTTAATTAAAAAATAACACTAATTTCCCAAGAAAAAGTGAATATATCTAAGAGACAAGATAACTGTGGTATATTATAATCTAGCGCATGCGCAGAACTGAAAAAGAATTGTATCTTCCACAATGTCTATAGCAATCTATTCTTAATTAGAGACCCAGTACCTAAACAATGATTTCCGCTTCCTTCATACCAAATACTGTAGTGCCATCTGCTGAATTCAAACTCCTTACATTCCATGTCCTTATATTTAAATAACTGATTTTCAAATTGTGCAATGGATTTCCTAAAGCAGTCCTCACTGGGAGACCATAATGGGGGACTAGTTTACATCTGGTAATGCATTTTGCCATAGGGAGACCCATTACTTTGTGGTGTATGAAGAACTAAAGATATGTGAGTAGGATTCTACTGATTTTATATACCATTGAATGCTAATGCGTCAGCAATAACTTTATCTAGAGTTATATTGAATGAATTTTTGATATATACGATCTTCATAAATTTAATAAGGCATCTTGCCTTTAGTAATATCTCTTTGGTCGAGTGATTTTTCTACATCACGGAACCTGTCTGTTTGGTATGCGAATTGCTTTGGATGGATGATGCAGGTTTCTTATACCTATTCTCTAATATGCCTGTTTACCATCTTTTCCAATATCTTCATTATAAAGAAAAAGATGTTGAGCAGTTTTTTTATTATTTAAGTATTCAAAGGTATCTCAGTAGGTAAAGATTTCTAATTCCGGAGGTCAGGTTTGATTTATACTATGGCTAATAATTTTTTTATTATTTTATATCAGCCTTGGGTTAACACCGTGGTCAAGAAAAGACATTCCGGGTACACAGTCAGCCTCTTTGAGTGGCTACCTAATCTTCTAATTAGATTTAGGGACAAACCTGGTAATTGAGTTATGCATGCCTGTTCTTATTATCTCACTGCGTATCTGTTTAATCAAGAAACAGGGTTATGATGGCGAAATTAAAAAAAAAAGTAATATGAAAAATAATAAAATAAAACTTAAATGAAAATAAGATACAAAATTTTAAAACTTTTTTAAAATAATTACTAAAAAAAAAATGTTTTATACAAAAATATTAACCCTACTACCACAACAAATACTTTCAAGTATTATTTCGTTCAGTTTAGTTTCATAATATGTTCACACTATTTTACATATATTCAGCCAAAATTATACAATGATGTTGATTAGTATGATATCTTTTTAGCTGATATTTCTCTTATTGAACTATTTGCTGTATTTTCATAAATCAATTAATTTTTCCTTTTTATTAGTTGAAAAAGTCGAGAAGTGATGCTGATGAAAGAAGGAGAAAATCTCTCTTGCCATGGACCAAGAAAACTAGGACGAAATCAAGAGATAGATTTGGAGGAGTTTTTGATCATGACAATAGTTCTGTGAGTAGTAGTAGATCTTCTTTGACAACTTGGGACCTGTCGCTTTCTTCAGGTCTTTGTCGTGTTATATTACCTGATGGATCTACTGCTGTAATTCATACACGCCCAGACCAGACTGTCAGAGACACGGTATCACGTCTGTTACTTAAACGCACTCTCAGCTATAATGATTTTCAAGTTTTTCATAGCTATACCAATAAAGTAAGTTTAGATGTGTCTGTATTAACTTTTGAAACATTAAAATTTTGAATTCATAAGCTGTTTGGAGATAGACTTTAAAGTATTGCTGATTACTGAATTTAAATTTTTTATTCTTTAAATTCTATTTAGATTTCTGTATCAAAAAAAATTTTTTGTTGATTAATTAATTTTTTATCAATAGCCCTCTTGAATTATTGCTATTTTACAATAATCGGTTTATTTACTATTTTAATTATATGTTAGGTTTTAGTAAATTTTACATTTTCCCTGAAAAAACTTATCTTTTTACTTTTTTGCCATAATCTCTTGTTAATTAAATGTATTTAATTGTCGTATAAAAGGGAAAAAAATAAAATATATATATAATCTGGTTTGGAGTTTGTTTTTGATAGACTATAAACTTCTTCTGCTAAAAAACAAAATCTTTATTAATCACACTTTTAGATTAAATAATACATTAAATCATACTCATAGTCTTTACATTTGTACAATAAAACACTTAATAAATTTGAATTAATTGAAAATAGTATCATTTGGTTATTTTTTATATCATCATATGTTTTTAAATTAACTGATTAACTTTAAAGTTGGGGTTTGATTAGAACCTGAGGCCTGAGGCATAGAACCTGTAGAAGGTTAATTTACAGAATTAACCTTGAAATGCTCTTCTGCATAAGGTAGCAGTATGCTGCTGTGATATAGATTTGCATCAGGATGTTTTCTTTCTGAATCTACTTAGTAGATTGTTTTAGAAATCTGTCTAATTAGACTGAAAGGTCCTTTGCGAATTTCATCAAGCTTATTCCAATTCAACTTATTATCTGTTTCTATATATACCATATAATTATTTACAAATGTATAATTTTTCTTTTTCGGTATGTATCACCTCTCTAATGGCAAGTTCTACTCCCAAATTAAACTGGGAGGAATCACCTTGTTTTAAACCCAAACGAACCTCAAATTTCTCGGATAAACAATAACTGATTCTAACTATATTGAATGTTTCATACATAAACATCGTAACTAGATTAACTATTTTTTTTTTGGGATCTCCTGCTCAATTACAATATTAGACAGCTTCTGGTGGTCAATGAAATCATAAATTTTTGAAATCGATATACAGCTGGTGAATAACAACGTTGTACTCTATATTTTCCCCAATATTTGCCGTCAATAAAATATTTGATCAATATAGTCAAACGGTTCTGCCTAAATTCTAATTGGTAGTCTCCGTTAATTTCCTCAGCGTATTCTGTGATTCGACTAGTTAAGATTTATGTGAATATTTTATAACATACCGGAAGTAGTGAAAATCTTCGATAGTTATTACAATCTTTTCTCTGATCCTTTTTGTGAATCAGAATAAGAATATATCCTTTCCATTCATCTGGCAATTTTCCATTCACCCACATCTTTTTAACAAAAAAATATATTTTAGAAACTCCAGCTTCCCCGCATGCCTTAATTAGTTCACTAGGAATATTATCTGTTCCCGCTGCTTTCTTAGATTTTAATTTTCTGATAGCTATTTCAACACTTTACTTGGTTCTTCTATTAACGGTTCACACTCTGGTTCTAAGAAGGTGGACACAGATCATTATTCATCGTATTTAAAATATTGTCGAAGTGTTTCTTTAACTTCATTAATATTTCTGAACAATTTAGTCGTTTTGTTCTTTGAGCCTTGGAAGTATTCAAGATTGTTTTCACTTGGATTATTCAGAGCTTTTAATATTGCGCCTTTTCATTTTTCACGTATGTTTAAGCAATCTTCATCAAACCACGATTTGTTATTTTTATTTTCCTTTTTATAAAACACAAGTTACTGACCTCTTTAGTATTATCCCTGATCCTTACTCATATCTTATTTATATCATCGTAGTCCTCATCAGAAGATTCTATAACTTCAAACTTATTCTTCACTTCAAACTCGAATTGAATTCTAATTAATGTATTTTTTAATTTTCCCAAATTAACATTCTTGGTATCGAAACAGTTTTCTTTTCTCTTTTTTATATTAAATTTTTGTCGTTAAGTTTTGCAATTACTAATTCATGATCTGGCCCACATTCTGCCCTGCAAGAAGACTACATTAATTATACTATTTTGCCACCTATGTTGTATGAACACATGATCGATTTGATTTCATGTTTACGAATCCAATAATGTCCTTGTATATTTGTGAATATCCTTATGTTTAAACTTAGTACTTTTAAATACTAGGTTTTTTGAGATGGCAAAATTTACGAGCCGAATTCCAGTATCATTACTATAGTCGTATAAGCTTCCTTTACTGATCATCAGAAAATAAACTTCTTGCCTTAAATTTCTTGACCGACTTTAAACCACATGCTGTATTTAAACTTCTTACATTCCTATACTTCTCCAAGGATGAAGAAACTTAAGACTTTGGCTTGGCGAGACACAAGTTTGGAGTATACCAGAAACTACCCATATCTGGGTGTACCCTTTTCTTCTTCTGGAAAATTTGAGAGAGCCGCAGAGCATTTCTTACTTAGATCATCTGTTGCAGCGACCAAAGTGATGGCAATCCTAAGAAATGGAAAAAGCGACTCTTGGGAGACAAAAACCAGCCTCTTTGACTCGATGGTCTCGTCAACACTGCTCTATGCTGCAGAGATCTGGGGGACGAGATACCTGGAGGTTTTGGAGAAGACGCAAGTTCCATTTATCAAATCATTGCTCCATTGGCCAAGAAATACACCGAACTATGTGGCTCGCCTTGAAAGTGGGAGATCTCCATTAAGTGTTGAAAAAAGTGATCAACTATTGGACAAAGCTAAGCTTAATGAGTGACGAAAGACTACCTAGACAATGCTTTAATAGGCTTAGAGCTCTAGACTCATCCATTGGAAAACCTGATTCAACCTATAACTGGGTTACCCAAGTAAAGATGATTGTGGCGGAACTTGGATGTCAGGGGCTGTTTTCTTGTGTTTTCTCTCAAGGTCTGATGAGGTTCAAAGATGAAATCATGGAAAAAATAAGAAACCATCATGCATCGAAGGACATCGACAGAGTGTTAAACTCTAAATCAAACCCAAGATATAGAAAAATCTGCTCCTTTAATGTTACCAGACCAGAGGATTATCTTCAGTTCAGGGCTCTGAATTTAAACAAATTAAGAGCCGTTAGTCGTCTCAGAGTAGCAAATAAAGATTTTATGAAAATATACTTAAAAGATGCTACTTTGACTAATGCAGTACTAGACTCAAGATCTAACATTGTTAATTATACCATTATATTTATTTGTACAGGAATTTCCTTAGACAAATAAAATAAACTATCTATCTATCATTCCTATACTTAAATCTATAGTTTCAAACCACGAATCACCTAAAGCAGTCCTTGCCTGGAGAACCGAACGAGGGACTAGTTTGTTTCCGGATAATCAGAGGTTTACCTTAGGAAGATCTATGACTGTTTGGTATTTGGTGAATTATAGATACATTATTAGGGCATTCAATCCTACGTCACACCAAGTTCAACCAGTCTGGAGTGCTCCTCTCATTGTTGGTCAGCGAGTCCATGGACTTTGCCGGGAAGAATTTCTAAGGAACCATCCCCACATCCACCACCTGTGGGACGCTCTCCTACGCGGTATTGAGTCAGCACGAGGGTGGAACAATATCGGTGCTTGGGTATGCTGATGATTTGGTACTGCTAAGTGAAGACACGGAAACAATAAAACTAAATACAATAACGTTGATGAAAGTTCGTACAGAATTAGGACAAAAACAGCTCTTTTTGCAGGTTAGATGCAAAAACAGGAACAATTTCGGTGATATTGATATAGGACAGAATATTTTTGAACATGTAAAGAATTTTATGTATCTAGGGTCTAAGATAACTAGAAAAAACCAAATTGAAGAGACGATTAAGGTTAGGCTGAAGGCTTGTTATTTTTCTTCGTCAAAACTACTTAGCCCATGCCCCTTGTCCTGAAACTTAAAAATTACAATTTACATAACCATTTTATAAAATTTACATCCTGCCTACAGTTCTTTATGGATGTGTACTTTATGGGCACTTATATTAAGGGATGAGCAACGTCTTAAGGTTTTTAAAAATAAATGACTGCGCAGAATATGGAGACCAAAGAAGGATAAGTCAAATAGAGGGTTGCTGACTTCTAATGGCCTGGTATAGAAAGGTATCAAGGAAGTACTGACGGCGGTAGGATGGATAGAGCCACTTTAACTCGGGGTAATACTGGGCAATATGTGTATCTCTTGAGATCCCGAAGACAAAATGTATTGAGCAATTCATTAGGCGTTTAAGTTTGGCTTTGAGTTCTCTCGAAAGTCCTCCGTACACCATTCATCCATAGTCAAAGTTAGAGAAAATAAGAGAGGAAACCAGGAGCTGATGGGCTTTGTATGGTAGGAGATAGCATTGATGGTTAAATAGGATAGGAGAGGTGTTACATGAAATTTCAACAATAAGGAACTCAACTTGTGGGTGATCGGATGGAGGAGAGCAGTGGCTCTTCAAGCTTTCATGAACATACATATCTACACCCCTGCCAGTGCAGCTTACCATGTCGTGGCAGATTAATGTTTAGTTAGGAAGGAAAACAGATGAGGAAGGGATGTAAGGCTTGAGCCAGGTTTCAGAAATTGCAATGATCTGATAAAATTTCTGTGTAAAATATTGTAGGAATTCATCGTGATGGGATGGAAGGGATTGGGAGTCGACGTGACAAGTAGTTAGGACACTAGACATGATTTGGATTTAGAAGAGTAAAGACGGAAATTGATGGGAAGAAGCTGAAGTAGCTAAGATACATTGAATGAAATAAAGTAAAAATTAAGAAATAAGAAAAACTGATTAAAAGGAAAAAAAATACATGTGAAATAAATAGGGAATAGAGATAAATAAATTAAAAAGGTGCAATGAATACATAATATACAATCATAGATTTCCCATGTAAGTCCGATGAATATGCCAAACATTTGATAAAGGGTGATAGTGAATGGACTTCGAACAGTCAGCCGAAGACATCTAGGTCCTGAGGCTGGTCGGTGAAGATAACCTGGTTACATATCTTATTTTTGGTACTGCGTTTATCCCCTGAAGAACCTTACATATTTCATTTTCCCTGAGGCTTTCTTTTGTGGGGCAAGCTAATAGAGGTTTCTATTAGGGCCCAAGCCACGGCCACTATACTGGTCACCAGAGCTGCTGGAGTCTCGTCTGCTCGAACTGGAATGCCTCAGATCTCAAGTGATCTAGGAAGCAGGCCCTTTTCGGCTTTATTCAGCCTGACTTTCAAAACACCTACCTACTCTTGATTTAAAGGCTTTCAGAATGGCGACCGACCTGGAAAAATGGGAAAAGTCAGGAAGAAATCAGGGAAAAATTGTTTAGGTCAGGGAATTTTTTTAGTATGTAAATATTTTTTTCAAATTGGAAATAAATATACTATAACATCTCTTATATTTTATAGCTAGTAATATGGGCCTCATGGAAGATCACTTTATACTGTTGGGATTAATCAGATCAAAACACTCAGACAAACTAAAATTAATTACACTAAACACTATTTGATTTTAAAATAATGTCAAGTGTGAATTGGCAAGGTAACCTTTTTTTCTATATATACTGTTTCTTCTTTTGTTGCACTAAATTCATTTGTCTTCAAACATTTCCCAAAGTTCTGCCAACACACATCTTTCCAAAATGGTAATAATACTTTCATCTACTCAACTCAAGCTCCCTGGGAGATCCTCTCTCTTGCGTTTCCAAATAACTAGTGACTGTCAAACACAAACCTTCACAGATGGTTATACTATTTCTGGGTTTTACCCACTGGAGTCAGGATCCCTTCTCTCTTCCTCTCTTCACCCCAGCCAAACACCAACTGCTTGCCAAAACAAAATCCTTTGTTCCCTCTCCTCTTTAAGGTTTTCCTTTCTGGGGTAACTACAGAGCAGCCATTTTCTTTTCCCTGAACTAGTGAAACTAGTTTAGCTTGCCTTTTAACTGTTCAACATTAATTTATTAAACTATTTTTAACAACTTTAAATGAAGATGTATATTACAATACAGTGGATATCATTTATAATGAATGACCTTGAATGGGCAAACATCGTTGTTATAAACGATCACTATATTAATCCATCTTTGACTGCCAATAACGGCACTGGTCGTTATATTGAAATCAAACAAGAGTAATGAATAAAATTTAAGTAAAATAGACTTTATACAGTGCTTTTTTGAAAAGAAAAACATACCAATACTATTTAATATTTGTAATATATACATGTGAGTCAAGATCTGGCTGGAAAGCACTCATTCGTTCGACGCGTGGTGCTCCTTAACAGAGCATTTATTAACCAGAAATGTCACAATTGATGTCATATGAATAAGTATTATGCTGTTCATGCTAATAAAGAAACTAAATTACTTATGAGAAACTACATTATTATTAGAATCCCCCTTAGCTCACTTTATTTTATAATAGAGGGAAAATCAGAGCTTTATATGTCAAGTATCAACTTTTTCCTCCTCTCAGATTATGAAAATAAAATAAAAGTGATAAAAATAAATTATTAAAAGTTTAGTTTTATAAAATCAAGCTTAAAAAATACTTCCTCTAACACATTATATTTGTTATTTAAAAGATTTTTTTTTAATTAAATCATTTTGTAGTCAATTTTCATTCATGTATAATAAATAAATTTATTTATAAATTATACATTTTTAATATTTTTGTCCCCAGACATATTGGTTAGAGAAAACTATCATTAAATAGGGAAATGTCAGGGAATTTTACTTAAACTGTCTGGTAGCCACCCTGGCTTTATTTTCGGGTACTATATCTTCTTTTTTTTTTTTTTTTTTTCTACTTTCTTTATTGAATATTAATACATTCTGCCACATTGAAGGGCATTAATATTAAGGCTACATGATTCATTCACACAATATGTACATACAATTAATATCAATAATAAAGAAAAAGAAATATAAACAAAAATAAAATAAGTAAATTGGTATGCCTCTGTACAAAAAAAAATAATGAAATAATAGATAAAAGCTAGATGAAATTAAAGTAAATAAATCACATTCACACCTATGTACAATATTTACATTCACCCAGGGGACTCTGAGTCATGCCTTATACCCCGACGTGGAAGCCAAGGCAGGACTCCAGGAGATCCCAGTGCTTCTCTCTCAGCCGCGTCACTGTTATTTGAAACCAGTGGAAACTGATGGAGGGCACTATAGCAACAGACGCTCATGTCTTGAGTGAAGAATCTGGCCATTGCCCAGTACTCCAATATATATATATATATATATATATATATATTTACAAAAGGTCGAGGGGCCACTGCCGTTTTAACCTCCGGGGAGGATTGTAGGGATGGCTGGAGCTAGATAGGGATTGTGCTACAGGATATGGATGATGAGTGAGTTTCTGGTGAAATTTGGAAAAAAATTCTGGGATTAGGTCAATAACAAATGGGATATAAAGGTCATTATGAAGGGTTTTGTTGGATACATAGAAGGGAGCATCAACTATTGTTCGGAGGATTTTAGACTGGAAGGATTGAATGCGTTTGATGTTAAAAAGTTTTGTTGTCCCCCACAGTTCTATTCCGTAGGTCCAAATAGATTTCAGGATTGTCTTGTAGATTAATAGTTTGTTGTTGACTAAAAGTTGAGATTTCTATTCAATAGTCTATATAGTTGTCCGTATCGTCTGTTAAGTTGTTGTCTTTTAAGTCTGGTGTGTGGGTTCCATGTTAGTCTTTTGTCTAGAATAAAGCGAAGATACCGGACTGTGTCGGACAGAGGAAGTGGTATAGAGTTGAAACTATATCTTCTAAATGTTTATTCTGTCCCTCTAACTGATTTTCAATTTTAGTGAATCTTGCGTTTACTTCAAATCTCAAATTTCCATACTTATCCAGAGCTAATTTAATATTTTTTATCTCTTCATTTATCCTAGCGAGTTATTGCCGCAAGAATTTCTGACAGTTTTGGCTCAGTGGTGCGATTTCGATTAGTATTTTCACCTCCCGTTATAATCTTTTTAGCCACATTGCAGCTAGAAGACAACCATGTTTGTTTTGATGTTTTTTGGGCCTCGAACTCTTTGTCACTAAGTTAACAATACCTAATGTAAAATAAGCATAGCGGGCAATGAGCCATATTGTTAAGTAATAAATATATCGTACTTTAAGCAAGATTAGTAGTTCTGATAAATAAGACCAAAAACAGGACTTAATCTTACAGGGCTCGCTTGTTTACCACTGTAGCTCGTGATAGTTTAAACAGTTTCAATACATTCACTTCTCGTTCAAATTTGAAGGATTACAAACGGTATATAACTTCTATGAACTTGGATTTCAAAAAGATAAAAAAAAAGCATACCTACAATACAAAATCGGTTTTATAGTCTTTACATACATATATATTAGTGATGGTGTGTGACAGATCACAGTGATTCATCACAGTTTTGATTTTTTTTCCTCTTGGTGCTCTGAGCTGATAGCTGTTAGCAGTGATAGGGATACAACTACTCCATGGTGACAGCATCACTTCAAGAGATGTAATTGACCTACATTAAAACTGTTGGTACTCAGTAGATGCAGAATTTCATGCTCTCCAACTTTGATTCTATGAGTTTTTCATCTTAAGGAACTCATTTCTAAGCTACATGGCCATATAGAGTAAATTTTTCTCAATTTTTGACAAATTTGTTAATAATCAACAATGGTTAACAGCGATTTCTACCATACCATTTAACTAAATTATTAAATTTAGGTACTAGGTACAATTTAGCTTTCTTTAATTTCTTAAAGTGTACACTTTTTGCTCAATGCACCGTTTAGGAGTTGTATGTGAAAAAACAAAAAAAGATTGAAAATATATAGCTTTTTCGGCTGTAAAAAGTTTTCCCTTGGTTGCTCTAGTTAAAAATTTAGAATTCGACATGTTTAAACGCATATAGACTAGAAAAATTTTTTTTTGAAAGCAGCTGCCCTGGAATGGCAGACAAGGTTCATTTTACTTAGAATAACATATACTTTCATAATTAACATTCAAACCTTCGCCTGCAATCAGGTAGATTTTTGAGCCCTGGCTTCAAGGCTGTTACTATCTCCAAGGGAGGCCCTGTCTGGCCTACATGGTTTTATTTCTGAACTTCTAAATTTATATTAAAATAAAATATAGATAACATTGCATATATTATATGATAATTATGTAATATCTTTAAACAATATTTTTGTTATATACATTATTAATAATGAGGTAAGGTTTCAGAGATAGATTTACAGGGTGTCCAGCAACCTACAAAGGAATTGTACGGACACCTCAACTCTGCCTGCCTGCTGGGGAACTTCAGTCGTTTAACTTAATAATGTAAATATATTTATAAATTATTAATAATTGTCGATTGATGGTTAACTGTAGTGAATAATTGAAGAGAAGAATGGTTGGAATGATCAGTAAAAAAAAAAACACAGTAAAAATAAATAATTATATTTATTTTTATATTTGCCGATGTTTCAAACAGTTTCTTAGCCCAAAGTTCAAGCCTTCATCAGGGTTAAGAAAAAAACAGATAACAATAGGTATGAGAAACTATAAACATTGAATAATAAAGAATTCAAATAAAAAAGGTGAAATATAAGACTAAAAAATTCAGTAAGAATAAACTTAAAGTAAAATAAAGTAGATACAGTGAACATTAAAGTAAAATAAAGTAGGTATAATAATAACAGTAACAGAGAGCAAAGAAATAACTAAAAACGGTTACAAAGTAGGAACTAGTGAAATAAACATAATCAAAATAAGGTAACATAAGAAATGAAAAATTTATTAACAACGAAAAGTAGTGGACTGAATAAGATAACAAACGTAAGTGTAGACAAAAAAGAAATAATAAATGGGGTGATATAGTTGCTAAAATATGATGTAATAGTATGTTAAAAGGAAGTGCGATAATCATAGAATAAAATGTAAAACAAAGAAAAGCAATATGAAGTTATATAAGGAAATAATAGATATAAATAGAAAATTAAGATATTGTAAAATTTATCAAAACATACTGACTATCTATTAGAGAATAAAAAGTTAAAATAATGTAAAAAAGATGGAAGAGCAAATGTATCAATATACACAAAATAGAGAAGGAGATATAGAAAAGAGAGTGATGGGAAAAAGGAAAAGAGGAGAAAACTAAGATAACAAAGATAAATTGGCAAACATATAGTTTCTCGTAGACCTGGTCAAGTGAAGAGGTGGCACAAGACAGACATATTTAGGTGAAAAAAGAGTAGAGCTTACATAGCTCCATCTTTAACGGTTAACTGAAATACGTGAACTAAAGCACAGAAATGTATATAATGGATGAGAGGTATGTTATAGATAAATTCTATAAGTTATTAAATAAATGCGTAATTGCAAGAGAATGGAAATATGGTATCTGGAGATAGTATAAAACAGAGATAATAAATATTAAATAATAATAGAGTATTACTGAAAAAAACACAAAACTTGATATTAAAGAAAACAAATTAAAATTATAGTAGTAGTATAATGTTTTTTTTTCGGTTGGCACTACAGACCATGAAGATCTTTGGCCATGAAACGTCCGTTTGTCCTTACAGACGTATATTGCTTGCGGGAACTCAAATAGCCTGGAGGGGGTCACCCAACTTCACATTGCTACAAACCATGGTCTCTCCATGGTGCAGCGGCAGGCCACCCGTAGTTCCATAGCCGACCCCGTTGGGGCCAATCTGGCAGTGTTCTTCCCACCAACTCACTCCGGTTCAAAGACAGTGACAAATCGGTCTAGATCCATGGATTATGGCTGCTCGGATTCAGCAGGAGCACGAGAACCTATATTTCTTTCTCCGAAACAGACCGTCCATGGACCAAACCTCAGAGGGGCTACCAACATCCTGGTTAACCTCATCCCGATTCCTGATTTAAGTACACGGGGTAGGGTCATCAGTCCTATGCCCAGTCGGTGTGAGTTGCCTCCAGTAGCCTGACGGGCCTCACATACCCGGGGGAAAGAGACTCGGGCAGCGTGGCTTTCTCTGGTGGATGGTCACCCATCCAAGTACTAACCACGCTCGACTTTGATTAACTTTGATTACCTATTGCAAGTGCCTTAGCCTGTAGAGCTATCCCAGCCCCCAGTAGTATAATGTAATATAGTATAAATTAAGGATAATATATTATAATAGTATAAAATAGAATAAATTAAGGAGACAGTATGAACGCATTATTTTTATTATATTTATTTCATTAGTTCCTACTCTGTAACTGTTATCAGTTATTTCTTTGTTCTCTATTACTGTTATTATTCTAGCTACTTTATTTTACTTTAAATTTATTCTAACTACATTTGTTAGTCTATACCTTTCACCTTTTTAATTTGAATTCTTTATTATTTAATGTTTATAGTTTCTTCTACCTATTATTATCTGTGTGTTTTTTCTTAGCCCTGATCAAGGCTTCAACTTTGAGCTGAAATGTCAGCAAATATAAAAATAAATATAATTATTTATTTTTTTGTTTTGTTTTTTTTACTTATCGCCCCAACCATTCTTTTCTTTAATTATTCACTATGATCAAACATTAATCCACAATTATTAATTTTATATATATATACATATTATTAATTTTAAAAAACTAAAATTCCCCAGTGGGCATGCAAAGCTGAGGTGTTTGAATCGGTTTAGGGTTTGTAAATACGCAGCCGGGAAATTTTTGGGAATTTAAGAAAACAAAAAAAACATTTTATGTGCTCCTAATATAAATAAGAAGTTTATTTCCTATAATTATACATAATATTGTTGGTCAACTATTGCTAAAAAAAAGGAAAGAATGAGCAACTGTTAATAATATGTTTCTTATCACAAGCATTAAAAGTACTTTTTGAAATAGCAACAATAAAAAAGAAAATACTTTAATTTTTTTTAAATTTAACATATACTGAAATAAATAAGATTCAAACATTTGGGATCAATGATTTGTAAAAGTTTAAATACTTGAATTTAGTATGCTTTCATTACCGGGAAGATTTTAATTCTAATTTAAGATAATTAGTACTTACTATTATTACTCAACATTTATAAAAAAATGAAACACCACTTGCTTGAATTATTTTCATAAAAATGTAAATGGTAGAATTAGGATTAGAAGACAGGTACATTTGGTTATATATGAGGGTGGTCTGAAAAGTTTCTGACCTAACAAAAATACAAGACATTTTTTCTGAATTTTTTTTTTATTTTTCAACATAGTCTCTTTGTAACTCTACACACTTCTCCCAGCGATGCTCCCATCTCTGTAACCTGTTCAAAAAGTACTCGGCATTTTTCTCTGCAAAATAATTGTTCACGAAGGTGATTGCCTCTTTATTTGACAAAAATCTGTGTCCTCCATGCGCAATTTTCAGATAAGAGAACAAAAAGAAATCGCTTGGGGCTAGATCTGGTGTGTAAGGCGGATGGTCAAGCAGTTCAAACCGTAGTTCGTGGATTTTCGCCATGACAACCGCTGAGGTGTGAGATGGTGTGTTGTCTTGGTGAAACAGGATTTTCTTTTTTTTTGCAAATGTGGCAGTTTTTCCACATTCTGTCAACACAAGTTCTGTCTTCAGCTTGTCAAGTAATGATGCATAGTATGCTCCTGTAATGGTTTTTCCTTTTTGAAGATAGTCAATTAAAATAACTCCATGACTATTCCAAAAAACAGGCTCCATCACTTTCCCAGCCGAGAAAACAGTTTTTTCTTTTTTTTTAAGCCGGTTCCCCTTTGCAGTGCACTGTTTGGACTGTATATTGGTATTGTGCTTATAATGGTGTATCCAAGTTTCAACTACAGTGATTAATCAGTGCCAAAACTCGGATTTATCGCGCCAATAGAGCGTTGGAAATGTTCATTCGAACACATTTTTGGTCAAACGTGAGCAAATGCATCACCCGACGTGCGAACAGCTTTCTCATATCCAAATGTTGATTTAATATGTAACAAACACATTCTTTTGAGATGCTCATAACCTCTGCTATGTTTCTCACTTTAATTCGGCGGTTGTCTAGCACCATTTGGTGAACTTTTAACGGTTTTTTCGTCAGTAATTACAGTTTTTGAATGTCCCGAACATTCATTGTCTCCCAAGCTCTTATGGCTACATTTAAATTCAGCAGCCCAAGATTTCACTGTGTTAAATGATGGTGCAGAATCCCCATACACAGAATCCAACTCATCTTTGATTTGCATAGGCGTATTACCTTTCAAAAACAAATATTTAATGACAGCTCGATAATCAATTTTGTCCATTTTCACAAAAACAATCACATCAACTCACTCTAACGACTGATACATAAAAACTGCACTTTACATAAAGGCTGCAACTTTGGTGGATAACTGTCAACAGATGAACAACGAAATTCACTTGCTTTTATTTACGAGTGCTGCCATCTTCACGTTGCGGTCGGAAACTTTTCAGACCACCCTCTTACATAATAAAAATTATACATAGGTATTTATATATATGTGATAAAAATAATCAAATGATAAAAAAGGTTCCTTGGCTAAGAGCTATATTATAGAACTATAATTCTTAGATTTTTTTTTTTTGTCACAACACCCTTATTGGACTAAAACAATTCTGTAGCACTCTTGCCAGACCAAAACAAACTCTTATAATTAAAATATATAGAGGAAATGAAGAGTGAAGAAAAACAAATAAATTTAACGATTTAGCTGTGTGGGAAAACATATGTTAACTAACTGTTTTAAATACACATATTATACCATCTATAATTTTTTACTTTCACTTCTGTTATATAAATATACTTATATCTACTTAAAGTAGAATAAGTAGAAGTTGTATGATTCTACAGAATTTTTTTTTATTTTGTGAGGTAACAAAGCATTTACATTTCCTCTTGCACTTCAAAAGAAAATGAGAAAAAATGTGCAAATCATCTGTAGTGTGTTAAAATATCTGTTGTTTTTACAGATTTAATTTCATCTTCTTTCTCTTCATTTTCAGTCTATTTATGACAGCCTTATCTATTAGTGCATACATAGGTAGTAAAGTCTGTAGTTTCTTATGAATCCGTTTTCTTGAATTACTTATTGAAAAGTTCGGAGTCTGGTTGAACAATGATTTTAAGACTGTTGTGTTTAGTGGGTATAATTTTTTTCCTATTGGTTCTGACATGGATAGAAACAATATAGGCCCATTTTGTTTTTCTTCACAATAATGAAACTTTCCTTAAATTTAAGGTTTTAAATCAATTAGTTTGTAGTTTCCTATTGATTTACTGTCTCTTACTGGTAGTGTATTTAAAACTTCAAATCAACCTGTCTCACATTTACATTTAAAAAAGTTATAAATGTACACTCTATTAAAAAAAAACTTTGTTCAGGCTTAAAATTGCATCATTACTTCAACACTTTTGAAAATATAGCAAGTAAATTGATAAACTATTGCACAATTTAAAATTGATATTATTTTCAAAAACTACAGCCCTGAAAATAAAGTAATTGATCTTCATATTGAAGAAGTTCGAAAAGTTTTAATAAATCAACATCCGAATGCATGATCTTAAATTTCCCCAACTTGTGCTCCTACAAATAAAACAATATTTTCCCTCCTAAAACAATCTGTTGCCCAAGATTGATGAAAATGAGATCTATACAGGTTTGAGACAGGAGTAGGTCCCAAAAAACTTGGTTAAATTACAGGGGAGAGCTGGAGTACTACTGCAGACTATGCAGCTAATATCACCAGAAAGTTTAGAACAATGAAACAAATATAACCATTATAGCCACTGTGACCAAAGAGCCTGTGCAAAAAAATTGATATTATCTGAAGAAAATTTTTAAAGCATTTTTTTTTTAATATTCATAATATTTAACATTTGGAAGTTGTAAGAACTGTTCTTTTCTCGACTTCCAAACAATTGCCCTGATAATGATCCTCATGTTTGGATCGAAATGTTGGCTAAACCATTAAAGAAATTCCTAACAATTTTCTTTCATCCTTGATTCAATATTTTTTTCTTTTTCTTGGGTTTACTGGCCCAAGCATATTAAAACTCTCATTGCAAAGTAAAATAACTTACGTTACTTATGAGTATGAGTAATTTTTACCTACACGCATTTAAAACTTAGCTTTAACCCTAATTTCAGATACAATTATGATAGTTTGGTCACATATGTCGGATGAATGTTGATCATTACCCATAAAAATATATGAAAGCAAGACCCCCAGGATTGTATGGGAGCAGAGGAAGAGGCAGGCCTCGATCTTAATCGGATCTAATAATCCTATCTTAATGGTAGGATGGAGTTGCAAGGGACGCCCGGGAGCTGCTGGCAAGAGGCTGGCCAGGATAGTTGACCTGGTGAAGTCTCATTGAGGAGACCAAGGACTGCATCGGTCTGTAGTAACACGGACTAGTAGTATTAAGAACTACAGGAAAGCTCTTAAGAGAAAGACCAAGGCTATTGTGAAATGACTAATCTTCAAGACAGGGCAAAAAGAGACTTGCAACTTAAGAATATGAAGACTTCATTATCTGGGATGCATGGATCAAAGTACCACATTGATCCTTGCAAAAGAAGGAAGATAAAAAAGAGGTTTTTACAAAGCCTTCTCTAAGTGGTAGGAAGGTCCGGAAATGTTGGGGTTAACTGGTTCAAAAGGGAGGTTTGTAGGAAACAAATTTTTTTTTACAATAAATGAAGTCAATAAGATGAGGTATAGGTGAAAATTAACTATACTGCGACAAGAGGTTTAATAATAATTTTTATTAGTAATGAAACTTCAATATGATCCATTTTCTTAACATCTATTTCCACTTTATCCCAAGTTTCATTCTATGACCCATTATCTAGGAAAAACCTTACTATCACTAAAAACTCATTCTAGGCTAATTTATATGAGTCTCTTTGTACTTCATTACATATTTTATAATATTAAATAAGTAAATAAATCTAAATAAGTGAAGTGAGAATAAATAATGCATCATTTTTGAGTCATTAGGTACTAGTAAACAAAAAAATTGAAGTATAAATTTTGTTTTTTAAATAATCTATTTATTTAAATATTTTTTATAGACTGATTAATTTTTCTAAACATTTTCTTCTGTAAATTATTAGAAAACAAGGATTTTAACAAAACGATGTAGATTATTTTGTTTATCTTTTGAATGTAATAAGTAAATTCAAGTGATTGAGTTGAAGGTTGATGGCTTTTACTGATCCCTGGCTAATATGATGGATGATACCATAGCAATGTGTTATTTTTACATTTTTTTTTTTTTTTTTTTTAGACTATTCCACTTGAAGAAGATGCTTCAGTATTAAGTGGTCTTGAAGTAAGCGTTGAAAGAAGAATCATTTTTAGACTCGATCTTCCAAATAGAAAGACAATTGTTGTTAAATCCAAACAGGGGAAAACACTATATCAAGTCTTAAAGCCAATCCTTCAGAAATATGGTTATCGATTAGAAATGGTGACACTTTGCTTGGTGAGTAGAAAATAGAGATTACATACATAACAAAACAAAGATGCAAATA